TGGACTGCCTTTAGAATAAAATATATTTAAAAATTAAGTGCTCGGGACTCTAACAGAAGTAGGTGAGCTCTGGTCCCTTTGAAGGTGATCAGGGAGGGCTTCCTGGAGTAAGAGGCACTTTTACCCTCTGCTCTTCCTCTCTTATTTTTAAAATTTTACTGATTTTGCTTTTTAAAAAACATTTATTTTATTATTTTATTATTTTTATTATTTTTGAGACAGAGTCTGTTCTATCGCCCAGGCTGGAGTGCAGTGGCACGATCTTGGCTCACCGCAACCTCCGCCCCCGGGGTTCAGGTGATTCTCCTGCCTCAGCCTCCTGAGTAGCTGGGATTACAGGTGAGTGCCACTTCACTCAGCTAATTTTTGTATCTTTAATAGAGACGGGGTTTTACCATGTTGGCCAGGCTGGTCTCCAACTCCTTACCTCAGGTGATCTGCCTGTCTTGGCCTCCCAAACTGCTGGGATTATAGGCATGAGCCAATGCACCCAGCCAGGAAACATATTTTTTTTAAAATGTATTTTTAAGAGTCAGGGTCTCAGTCTGTCACCCAGGCTGGAGTGCAGTGGTGCAATCTCTGCTCACTGCAGCCTCGACCTCCCTGGCTCAAGGATCCTCTCGCCTCAGCCCCCTGGCTCTCCCTGCCTTCCCAGTTGGGGCTACAGGCATGCACCACCACGTCTGGCTAATTTTTGTATTTTTTGTAGAGATGGGGTTTCTGTATGTTGCCCAGGCTAATCTTGAACTCCTGAGCTCAGGCAATCCGCCTTCCTCAGCTTTCCAAAGTGCTAGGACTATAGGCATGAGCCATCACACCCAGCCTTCCTCCTTTTTTTTTTTTTTTTTTGGTAACAGAATGAATAGTTCGGAGAGTTGGGACAGTATTAGAGGAGAGAACCAGAGGCCTGAATAAGAGTTAGTGGTGGTGATGAGGCATAGGAGAGAAGGGAAAGGCCTAGAGAGTTCCGTGGGAGTGTCAGGTGTGACATAGGGGGCCGGGCGTGGTGGCTCACGCCTGTAATCCGAGCACTTTGGGAGTCCAAGGGACGATTGTTTGAGGACAGGGGTTTGAGACCAGCCTAAGCAACACAGTGAGACGCCATCTCTATAAAAAAAATTTAAAAATTAGCGGGACATGGTGGCATATGCCTGTTGTCCCAGCTACTCGGGAGGTTGAGGTGGGAGGATCACTTGAGAGCAGGAGGTTGAGGCTGCAGCGAGCTGTGATCACACCACCACTCTCCAGTCTGGGCAATAGAGCAAAGACCCTGTCTCTAGAAAAACAAAAAACAAAAAACAAAAATCAAAAAAACATGCAACATGGGGCTTTGGGTACAGAGCTGACTCCAGGCTTGGGGGCTGAGGACGGCCCCTCCTAGTGTGTGAGGCCAGTGAGGGGGGAAGCTGGGTGGGGTGAGTATACAGAGGGCGCTCTCCTGTCTACAGACACTGAGAGGGCCTGGATAGGAGATCTAGGTGTCCTATGGGAGTCAGCAGGAAGGGTCACAATGCCAGGGAGGTGGCATGGGGAGCAGAGCCCATTGTTACCTTACCCCACAGGTCCCCAACCCATCCACCGTCCTCAGCACAGGAGAAAGAAGGCTGGCCCAGCCGGCAGGTCTGCCACCGTGATATTAGTGTAAGGCACTTCCTCACTAGGACCCTGGGAACTTGGGATACCCAGGGCTTCTCTCCATAAAGAATTATCTGGAGGGGCTCAAGGGTCCAAGGAGAAGTGGACCTAGTGTTTCCAGAGTGGCCTGTTCTGGGCGTCAGACTGGACAAAAAAGAATGGAGGTCTGCCCCAGGCCCTGTTCTGCTTCCTTATATGCCTTAGTTTCCCCATCTGAGGATATCCTGGGGCTCTGGAAAGGGAGCCTCTTCAGTGGACCCAGCCGCTGCTCCCTGGATGTCCTGCCATGCTCCCTCCCAGCCCTGGCTGGCCTCCCCCACCCACCCCAGGCTCCTGGCCTCCCAGGAATGTGCTTCTCAGCCCCCAATCTGGGCGCCTGTCTTATCGGCCCCCAATCGAAGGGGAGACAGACGCCCCGGTCGACAATGACGGCCCCTCCTGTTAGCCCCAGCCTGACCCTGAGTTGAGGGCCAGCCAGCGCCTGCTAAGTGCCTGGAGGAGGAATACCTCCCCTTCCCCACACTGACATGAAACCCGACCTCCTGTACCGCCTCCTTTGTGCCCGCTGGGCGCCGCGCCGGCGTCAGAGGCCCTGGGTCCCCACCCTGCCGCACACTGTGGCTGCCAGGGTGGGATTTGCTCTGCCTGGCATGCTTCCAACATGACCTTAGCCTGCTTTGCTGGAAAACCAAGGTTGTCTGCGGGGGTCCCCTCACCCTGCTCCCAGTCCCCAACCCCTCAGAGTCTTGGTCCAACCCCTGCTGTATGAGGCCAGACCTTCTCACATCCCTCCAGCAAATGCACATCCCTCCAGCACTCCAGGCCCTCCCCCTCCCCTCCAGAGCAGGGAGGAAGGCTCCTGAACCCACTCTCATCAGGCACTGGTCTCAGCCCACTCCCCAGGGAACCCCCCTCAGGGCGCTCGTGGGACCCTCATGCTCTTGGGATCCACCTGAGAACCTTCTCAGCCAGTTCTCCCTCTTGGCCAGTTCCAGTCTCATCGGGGGACCTCACAGCCCTGTCCAGAGCATCCCTCGTCTTCCACACTTCCCTCCAAGGCTGCACTCCCCTTGTTTGTGAAGGCACATCCATTTGTGTGCCTCCCTCTCCCTCCTGCCTGCCATTATCCTGGTTACCAGGAGCCTTAGCATGGCTGCAACTCAGTCCCTTCCCAGGCCACGTCTCCCTGAATTATCACTGCCTGGCTCCTGAAGCCCTTTCCTGGCTCAGCCTCCCTCGGCCTCCCAAGCTGGGGCTGCCTTCCCTCCCTGGCTACTGCAGGTCAGGCTACCCAGGCCTGGCCTCTTTTCTCCATCGACCCTTGCCCCTTGAGCATCTCACACATGCCCAAAGCTACACATACCATTGATCTACTACTGGATGACAGCACCCACATTAGGACTGTCTGCTCCAACCCCCACCCCAACACCACACTCAGATTGTTCCAAGCGATGTCACACAGAGGCCTCAAATTTGATGAGGCCAGAACAGGACCCTCTATCCCCCTCACCTTCTCCCCACGAGCCCTCCATCTCAACAAAGACGACCACCATCCATCCACTCTGCAGCTCAGGCCTCTGAATCCACTTGGACTCCCCTCTCTCAGCCCTGTCCCATCTGTGGACAAACCTGTATCCCACCCCGCCTTGTCCTCCAGATTCCACCCCCTCAAATAATCACTGTCCCTTAAAGCCTCCCCCTGCTCACGGATTCCTCTGGCAGTCCACTACCCTAAGAGCAAACACAGAGGGTTTTGTTTTGTTTTGTTTGTTTTAAGTTTAGTAACATATACATAACATAAAATTTGTCCAAACTATTTTTAAGTGTTCAGTTCAGTGGTATTAAACATTCTTATGCAACCATCCCCACCATCCATCTCCAGAACTTTTTCATTTTCCCAAACTGAAACTGCACTCATTAAACAATAACTCCCTGATCCTTCTCATATAAGTGGAACCATACAGTATTTGTCTTTTTGTGACTGCCTTTTTTTTTTTTTTTTCTGAGACAGAGTCTCACTCTGTTGCCCAGGCTGGAGTGCAGTGGCATAATCTTGGCTCACCGAAACCTCCATCTCCCGGGTTCAAGCGATTCTCCTGCCTCAGCCTCCCGAGTAGCTGGGATTACAGGCGCCTGCCACCACGCCCGGCTAATTTTTGTATTTTTAGTAGAGACGGGGTTTCACCGTGTTGGCCAGGCTGGTCTCAAACTCCTGACCTCAGGTGATCCACCTGCCTCGGCCTCCCAAGTGCTGGGATTACAGGTGTGAGCCACTGTGCCCAGGATTGTGACTGGTTTACGTTACTGAGCGTAATGTCTTCAAGGGTCATCCATGTTGCATCATGTGTCAGAATTTCATTCCTTTAAGGTTGAATGGTATTGTTTTGCATGTAGACACCACACTTCGTCTGTCTCATCGCTGGGTGAACCAATGTGAACCATTGTGAATAATGGGGCTATGAACATGGGTGTATGAATATCTGTTTAAGTCCCTGCTTTTGATTCTCTTGGATATGTACCCACAAGTAGCATTGCTGGATCATACGATAATTCTATTTTTAGTTTTTTGAGTCATGGTCATGTTGTTTTTCACAGCGGATGCACCATTTTATATTCCCACCAATGGTGCCCAAGGGTTCCAATTTCCCCATATCCTAGACAACACTTTATTGTTTTGCTTTTCACAGTTACCATCCTAATGGCCACAGGGATCCTTGTAAAGTGACAAACTTCACATCTTCCCAGAGGCATCCTAGGTTACCCCACCTAGCACTGCGGACCCCCACGTGTCCCCACCCCTCAGTTGGCAATACTCTCATCAAGTGTCAGCACTAGCTTATTGTATTGACTGCCTCCTGGCTGGACATTAAGAGACAGTGTCTTTTACTGGATGCTGTATCCCCAGCATACAGTTGTTTAGTAAACGGAGGAAGGAAGGAAGGGAGAAAGGGAGGGAGGGAGGGGAAGGGAAAAAGGGAAGGAGGGAATGAGGGAGGAAATTTCTATTTTCCACCAAAATATTGAGGCTCTCTCCTGCCTGTCCATTTGCTCTGGTGCGCCTCTCAACCCTCGGGCCCCACCTGGACTCAATCCCCCTGTCCAGCCTCTCCTTCCGTGGCCCCCGGGAAGAACTCCGACAGGGGCCAGCACATTTGAGTGGGGCCCTGGAGGTTTGGACACATTCCCGAATGCCTCCCTGCTGTGGATCCGGTGGGCCTGTCTCGGGTTCGCAGCGAGGAGAACGTTGTGGCTAGGTTGTCAGTGAGCTGGAAGTGAGCCAGCACTGTCTGAGCCGCCACACTCCCTGCGCCCCCCACGCGCCCCGCTACGCGCCCGCCGCTACGCGCCCCGCCCCTTCCTGTTTTGCCTCGCCTGCTGGGGTCTTCGCTCCTCTAATCCTACGATCTTAGCCCCGCCCCCGTGGTGTCGTGGGTCCTCGCTACTGGTCCTCTCCTAGAAAGCCGCGAAGTGACCAGTTCCTCATTGGCCACACGTTCTCCCGCGCCACCGCCGCAGCCACAACAACCGCCACGTGCTCAACCTTGGCGCCTGCCCATTGGCCACCAGCCTCTACCCGCCCACTCTCCCTTTCCGCCCCTAATTGCCCTCTTCCTCCTTCCATTGGCTGCCGGGCTCAGGGGCTCCCTTTTCAGCCGGGGCGCGCAGCGCCTCGGATGCGGATTGGTAGAAGGCGGGGCTGGGAGGCGGGTTAAAGAGCGCCTTGCTGGCTGGGCCACGCGTGCTTGAGAAGGTTCAATGGCGTGGCAGGGACTAGCGGCCGAGTTCCTGCAGGTGCCGGCGGTGACGCGGGCTTACACCGCAGCCTGTGTCCTCACCACTGCGGCGGTGGTAAGCGGCCGGGCGGACCGGACGTCGCCTTGGTTACAGCCTCTGGCGGGAGGGTGAGGGTCGCCATGGTTACGGCGTGGCTCCCTGGCAGCTCTTGACTGGCCCCTGGTTCTACAGCAGCTGGAGCTCCTCAGCCCGTTTCAACTCTACTTCAACCCGCACCTTGTGTTCCGGAAGTTCCAGGTGAGGCCGCCCCGCCCCGCGCACCTGTGGGCCCGGCCCGCCCACCCCGCACCTGACAGCCCACCCCGCACCTGACAGCCCACCCCGCACCTGACCGCCCACCCTGCACCTGACCACCCGTACTCCGCAGGTCTGGAGACTCGTCACCAACTTCCTCTTTTTCGGGCCCCTGGGATTCAGCTTCTTCTTCAACATACTCTTCGTGTATCCTGCGCCCTGCGGACATAGGCTGGGTGGAGGGCAGGCCCGCCGGGCTGGGAGAGCCCGGGACGGGGAAACTGAGGCCCCACCTGGTGGCACTTCCTATACCGACGCCATAGGTTCCGCTATTGCCGCATGCTGGAAGAGGGCTCCTTCCGCGGCCGCACGGCCGACTTCGTCTTCATGTTTCTCTTCGGGGGCGTCCTTATGACCGTATCCTTCCCGCAGGCTCTGGAACCTCGGGCTAGGGCGCCTCGGGGTCCGGCCTGTGTTGGTCCTGGGGCTTGACGTGAACAGCCGCACCAGAAAGGGACACAGTCGCTCTCTCCAGCTTAGTCTGTGTTGAGGGTCGACTTTGTGCTCAGCTGCAGGGGCCAGGGCTAGATCTTCAGTGCTCTATGCAAAATACAAGGCGATGCACAAAAGAGCCAGGTGGGGTGTCAGGGCCACTAGCTGAGCCCTGAATGCGAGTAGCCGGGAGAAACTGGGGCAGGGACAGGCAGTGGTTGGACCCTGGGATGAGGCTGTAGGTGTGCAGGGCAGATCTCATGGGACCTGAAGCGCACTGTCTGTCGCCTTTATTGGACGGGCTCATCTTGATGAGGGAATAGCACAGAGGGGAGATGAAGGGAAGAATTCCGGGGGCTTGAGAAGTCAGAGGGGCCCTGAGCTTGGGCTGAGGCCTGCCACCGGAGCACCTTGACTCTGGCCCAGCTGCTGGGATTCCTGGGCAGCCTGTTCTTCCTGGGCCAGGCCCTCATGGCCATGTTGGTGTACGTGTGGAGCCGCCGCAGCCCTCGGGTGAGGGTCAACTTCTTCGGCCTGTTCACTTTCCAGGCGCCGTTCCTGCCTTGGGCACTCATGGGCTTCTCGCTGCTGCTGGGCAACTCCATCCTCGTGGACCTGCTGGGTGAGCCTCCTGGTACATCCAGTCCACCCCAGGCTGGCCACTCCCCTCAGGACACGCTGCTTATGCCCTGAGGCCCTTCTCCCATCCGTGCTGGAGCTCTGCTCACATCTGGACCTCTCATCTGGCTCCATCCCCATCTTCCTGCCCTCCCCGCTGCTGTGCTCTTACAGCCCCTCAAGCCACCCGGCCCACATAATTTGCATCTTCAGGGCTGATCTGCTGATGCTTGCGTGGTCCTGATGGGGGTGGGGATGGGCGGGTCAGGGTTCCTGCCCCATGGCTCTCACTCCTCCACTATTCTCAGGCCCTCCCCTCCCTGTGTCCTGTCTGCTTCTGGGCCCTTTAAGCTTGTCCTTCAGGGCCCACCCTGGGCTGACACTCTGCAAGATTTTGGGGAACTCATGCTCTGGGGCCTGCAGGGCCACCAGGCTGTGGATGGGGGCCTGGGGCAGGTTCTGCTGGTCTAGGACTCTGGGCTATGGAGGGTGACCCTGCAGTCCGTGGCTGTCTCACAGGGATTGCCGTGGGCCACATCTACTACTTCCTGGAGGATGTCTTCCCCAACCAGCCTGGAGGCAAGAGGCTCCTGCTGACCCCCGGCTTCCTGTGAGTGTTGAGAGTCCTCCCTCCCTCTCCCCGCCCTCAGATGGAGGACCTGTGCTGGCCTCTGCTCAACACGGGCCCCTCCCCACAGAAAGCTGCTCCTGGATGCCCCTGCAGAAGACCCCAATTACCTGCCCCTTCCTGAGGAACAGCCAGGACCCCATCTGCCACCCCCGCAGCAGTGACCCCCACCGAGGGCCAGGCCCAAGAGGCTTCTGGCAGCTTCCATCCTGCCTGTGATCCCTACTTGGGGCAGAAAAAACCCATCCTAAAGGCTGGGTCCATGCAAGGGCCCACCCGAATAAACAGAATGACCTGCAGTCTCTCGGCCCACAGCACTGGCTTCCCCACCTCACCCAGCCACATCCTTCTCTGCCTGCCCTGTCCTCACTCAGTGTGGCCTCTCAGCCCAACTGTAGGTGGTAGGATAGGGGTGCCCATAGAGGGCAAAGAAACTGCCCATGGTTGCCCGGCAGAGCTTTGAGCTCACAGGTGACAGGCTCAGGGTTTTCATCCTGGCCCTACCAGGGCTTTTGGGCAAGTCCCGCCCACCATAGGCCTCCGCTCCATGCCAGTCAGTGGGGAATTTCACCAGATTTCGGCTGCTGGGGCCAGGACAGGCCTCTCCTAGACTGTGCCGAGCCAGCCTACAGATAGATGTTCTGGCCAGTGGTGCCTTCAGGCTGATGCCGATCTAGCCTCTCCTGTTCCTCATCAGCCACCCTGACAGGTGGGCCTATAACTCATTTATCATCTGGTGACACCAAAGCCCCATGGAGTCAGGTGCAAAAGAGGGCCAGGACTGGGTCTTTCTTCTGCCCTTTCTATGACCCCAGAGCCTTAGTTTTCACCTTAGCAGAGTCCTGAGACTAGGTGAGGGAGGGACTTCTGGAAGGTTCTGTTCCTGCTCTTTTTAGCTGAGGACCTGTGTGAGCCTTATCTGACCCCTACGGCTCACTTTTCTCTTCTGACCTGGCAGCTTTCCTTGTTGCTCTAGGCCTGTCCATGTTGTGGTTTATTTCTGGATGCTCAGTGGCACGGGGCCTCCTCCAGCTACAGGTTGTCATTTTCATGGTAACAACACTGTTCTCTGTTGAATCTGCCCTCCATGTTGTAGCCAGACCTTGTGGAGCTGGCTCTGCAGCGGTGTGAACTGGCAGTCAGGAGGGAGGGCCCGGCCTCCCCCGGCACCTCCCAGCCAGGTGGCCCTGCCCGACCTGTGGGGTGAGGCAGCCAAGGTTCCTTCCATCCCACCAGTTGTGGAGGCACAGGGCTGCCTCACCCTTTCATTGCCAAGGTTCCTGCCTCATGGATGGAACAAACACCTCAGCAATGAAACCTGTTCATGTCCAAGAGCAGCTGGGCTGGGAATCTTCCCTTTTGTTCAAGGCCTTCCAGTAAGGCCCAGCTGTCCCCTTGCTGTGTGTGGGGCTCTGGGGAGTGCCACTCTTTGATGGAGGGCAGAGGCCCTGAGTGCAAACTTCCTCGGTAGAGTCTCATGCTAACATGTGCTCAAAGAAGCCCCCATCTCACATCCCAGCGACCAAGAACCTCAATCCCTAATCGGAGCTCTGCCTCTGCCCACATGGGGCCCTACCCCACTTCCAGGGAGCACGGCAATCTCTGACCCTAGCCCTGCCCTGGCAGCAAGGGACTTGCCAACAGCTGAGGGTGGCAGCAGTCTGTGCTGGGATCTGTGCCCACTCCCTTCAGTGAGGCTGGAGCTGTGAGCCAGTTTGCTGCCCTCCCAGATCCTATGTCCATTCTAAATAGTGGGGACCCCTCCCTATTACAGATGAGAACACAGAGGGGACATGAACTCCTTGGAGGCAGGGCTGGGAAGAGACCTCGGGCTATGTCTCCTCCCTGCACCGTGTCAACCCCAAGAGCTGGCACCAGGCCGGGAGGGCTATTCCCATACTCCTCACAGCTGGCCTGTGAGGCAGGAACTGGCCCAGGCCACAGCACCTGCTGGGGTGGGAAAGGGCCCCAGTTGACCTGGCTATGGGTGCCACTGGAGCTAGAACAGCCCTCCTGCACCCAGGCTGGCGACAGCCCAGCAGTGCCCACACAGGACTGGGCCCTCCGCAGGGGACTTCAGAGCAGCAAGGCCCCAGCTGGCAGTAGCCTGACCATCTGAACACAGCAGAGCCAGGGCGGCCCAGGGACAGCAGGAGAGCTCACGGCACCTTTCTGAGGCCCAGCAAGCGGAGCAGAGTTAGGGCTGTTGCTGAAAGGCAGAGAACTCTGCCCTGAGCCTCGCAGCCACTCTTCTCAGCTCTCTGGGTCTGGAAGGAGAACAGGCTGAGGGGAGCTGAGGTGCTACCAGAAGCCCCATTCACCCTCACTCGCCCACCTGGGAATCTGAGGCAGAGGAGGGCGAGGCCTGTGTGCTAGCCTTGTTCACATGCCACCTTTGTCCCCCCAAGCCCCAGCCCCACTTCTGGCTCTCATTATTTTTATGCTAAAACTTTGAAGAAATTGAACATGACCTGTTGCCTTTTATTTAAAAACTGTTACTAGCCCTGCCTGGGGCTCCTATACAAAAACAAAACGCAACCTAAAATAAGGTTTCTTCCTGACCCCAGAGACTGGGGAGGGGCGGGGAGGGTGGGGGGCAGGACTGGGGCTCAGCAAATGGAATGTGTGCCGGGAAGGGCCACCCGGAAGCCCCCACTCCACCCCCACCCCGATCCTCAGGATGGCGCTGGGCTGTTCCCTCGCCTCTGTCCTTGCCAGAAGATGGAGGAGAGGCGGCCCAATCTTCTGAGATGCTCCGTGGGAGCCGCGTGCTGATGGGCTGGTTACCAGGCTGGGGCTGTGTTGGCGAGACGCCTCATCCGCCTGGAAGAGGAGTGGGGAGGGCAATGAGTCGGGGCCAGTTCCCAGCCTGGGTGCTGCCCTTCCCAAGGCTCTACGGGGCAGCCAGGTGTGGGGGTGGGAACAGAGGCAGGATATGGCCCCCAGCAGGTCTGGACCCAGCCTTCTCTCAGCCTCACCTGTCTGCCACTCAAGCCCTGCTCATCACTCCAGGGACCCCAAAACCTGGATCTGGGCTGTGGTCAGACCCTCAGCCTGAGGAATTGTGTTTGTTCCCTGCAGGGAAACATACTTTGGGGCTTGGATGGGGCCTCATCACCCAGAAGCCTGCCTGCCTCTAGCAACACTAGAGGTTCCCAAAGACCATGGGAGACTGGGAAAGGCAATGGCCCTGCCCCTGCCTGGAAAGCCAGGTGCCTGTAGGCAGAGCCCAGGACCACAGGGCCAGGGGTACCTCGTGTTCCTGTCCTGGTCGCGGATCTTCTTCTCCATCTCGGCGTCTGTCAGCGTCTCCAGCAGCGGGCACCACTGGTCCGCATCGCCCGTGTTCCGGATGGCAATCTCCACTGTGGGCAGAGGGTTCTCACTACGAGGAGGGGAGGCAGTGAAAGGAATGACTTTTCCAGCTACAGATGGAGAGTCCTCAGAAAGCTCTGGCCCCTGTCTGTGCCCTGCTCCTCCCAGCAGCACTGTTGGCAGGCAGGGGATGCTCCAGTCACCTGAACCCCAAGGGAGCTGCTGGAGGCGCCAGCGCCTCTCCAGAACAACAGTGTTGTCACCATGACCCCATGGGCTTCCCGTCAAAGTGAACTTTCAACAGGCCCTTTGCGCCCAGCATCTCTCTGTCTCTGAGATGGAGGAGGGGGCCATTGGCTGTGGAGGTGGTCGTCCTTGACAGGACAGCACAGGCTGGGCCACGCTGATGCCACAGTGCCACAGTCAGGAGGTGGAACCCATAGGAGCAGGAGGACTGTATGCTCCACCCAGTGTCCAGAGCCAGGGCCCACTGATCAGGGAAAAGGGATGGATGGTGAATGGGAGCAAAGGAGTCTCCCAGAAGTCCCCAGCGCCCCACTACTGAGGGCCACTGCACAGCCTGTTCCCTGCATGTTCTACACACTTGCCCCTCAGCCCACCTCCTGGCCAAACAAAACCCCCCGAGAGGCTGGTCTGTGCTTAGGATCAGACAGCTGGCTGGCAGGGAGCTGGACTGAAGCCATATCCCTGGACCACACTTTGCCCTGGGTCTCGTAAGGACCACCCGACTCTGCCCCAAGGTACCCTCCTCTTGCCAAGGGGATACAGCAGAGGAGGGGGCAGCAAGGGCAGAGGCTACACAGGCATGGGGTGGACACAGGAGTGCTGGGGGAGGTGGGAGGGTGGCTGGCTGCCCCCTTTCTGGGCCTTGATTTGCAAGTCTGTGATAGGACGCTAAGGAGACCATAGCTGTGGATGCCACAGGGCCCGTGTGCCTCCCACATGCAGTGGCCCCTGTCACCCCCACCTCTGAGACAGCAGCTTTGGGTGCTGACAATGTTTCCCGGTTGAGTGACACCAGACCCCTGGCTTGGCAGAAGGCCTCAGACTGCGGTCCTAACCATGACTCTCCCACTTCCCCTCCCCTCTCCACGGTCCTTTCCTTTCTCCTCTACTTGGGCACCTCCACTTGGCTCTCCCTAGACTCAGCCTTGGGAGAAGGACACCCTGCCAGCCTGCAGCTCTGCAAAACACAGTGAGTTCTGGGAGGAGCAAGGACAGGCCGGGCTCAGGGGAAGCGCCAGGCGGACACTGATAGAGTGAGAGAGGACAGGTCCCTGCAAAGGGCTTTTGAAAGATGACTGTTATTAAAGCAGCCAACACACATCCATTGAGGGAGCTTCCTAGGGGCCAGGGACCTTCTCACGGCCTCCCTGTAGCCGGCGCTCAAGGTTGTGGGACTGGTCCGCCTGCAGAGCGAGCCCCGGCTCCCTATATCCACACCAGTGAGCGTACACCCAGCACCGGGAGCCACGAGCCCGTTCCAGGTTGGGCTCGGTGCTGCTCTCCTCAGCCTGGGGTCTCAGGGACTGTGAGCACACAAGGCACAGCACAGGGCACTGGCTGCGGCTGGCTCTCCCTGCAGCAGGCCTGACCCCTCACAGCTGACGCTCAGCCCACCAGGTCCATGCCCATGAGTCCCAGAAGCTCGAGCTCATGCTGGTGACGCAGAGGCAGGGCCAGAGGCAGTGTCGGCACCCCCACCTGTGTGGGCCTCGGGCTAACCCATCCTCAGCAGCTCCTGACAGCTGGTCCCCGGCCAGCACGGGGGAGGCGGGCGTTAGCAGTCTAGGGACCGCCCCAGCCCCAGCCCCAGACCCCAAACAGCATTCCTCACCGTGAGGGCTCCCAGCAGCCTTCCTTGGAGGGCAGACATGAAAGGCACCGAGCCCACACCGAGGGGAGCAAAACATGTTTTTCTCTTAAATAAGAGCTGATGAGTGGGTCCCAGAGACTCCTTTGTTTACCTCCCGTTGACACTGGGAAGATTCCACTCCAGTGGGTTTGTTCTAAAATAAATGCTCGCACCAACCACGTAAGAATGGGCCTAGAGCCAGCACTAGCCTGCCTTGGGTTTTGGGGGGCATATGGGCAGGGAGATGCTGTCCTGAGTTCCAAACGGTGCTGGGGACCCTGGAAGCCACCCTGCTCCCCCCTCCTTCCAGGGAATTCTGGTTCATGGGCTTCGAAGCCACCAGGGACCCTAGACCTTCCTACCACCCAGAGTGTCCAGGTGGGGACAAAGAGACCCAGGCAGGGATGGTCACGTCTGAGTTGACAGAGAGAGGCAGGACTGATGCCGGTCAAGTATCTTTTTTTTTTTTTTTTTTTTTTTGAGACGGAGTCTCGCTCTGTCGCCCAGGCTGGAGTGCAGTGGCCGGATCTCAGCTCACTGCAGGCTCCGCCTCCCGGGTTCACGCCATTCTCCGGCCTCAGCCTCCAGAGTAGCTGGGACTACAGGCGCCGCCACCTCGCCCGGCTAGTTTTTTGTATTTCTTAGTAGAGACGGGGTTTCACCGTGTTAGCCAGGATGGTCTCGATCTCCTGACCTCGTGATCCACCCGTCTCGGCCTCCCAAAGTGCTGGGATTACAGGCTTGAGCCACCGCGCCCGGCCTGCCGGTCAAGTATCTTGAAGTTTACTTTCAATGTGATCTCACTTTCATGACCTCACGTGATGCAACAGACAAGTATTATCCCCACATTACAAATTACAAAATATAGATAGACTTCAAGGAAAACGACCTGCCCACAGCCACTCAACCAGGAAGGGGAGATGCCAAAACTTGGTGTCGCCCTTATGTTTGCAATCAACACCTCCGAGGCCGCCAGGAGCCTCAGTTGATTTTTCCAAGGGTGTCAAGTCCACGCAATGGAGGAAGAGTAGTTTTCAACATGGTGCTGGGGCAGCATGACTCTGCATTGACAATGGATTCTCAGATATGAAACCAAAAGCACTAGCAACAAACTACAAAAATAGATAAATTACCGGCCGGGCGCAGCGGCTCACACCTGTAATCCTAGCACTTGGGAGGCTGAGGCAAGTGGATTATGAGGTCAAGGGATGGAGACCATCCTGGCCAACATGGTGAAACCCCGTCTCTACTAAAAATAAAAAATTAGCTAGGTATGGTGGCATACGCTGGTAATCCCAGCTACTTGGGAGGCTGAGGCAGGAGAACTGCTTGAACCCAGAAGGCGGAGGATACAGTGAGCCGAGATCACAGCACTACACTCCAGCCTGGTGACAGAGCGAGACTCCATCTCAAAAAAAAAAAAAAAAAAAAAAAAGATAAATTGGACTACATCAAAATGAAAACTTTTGTGCTTCAAAGAACACTATCAAGAAAGTGAAAAGGCAATCCCCCAAATGAGAGAAAATATCTGCAAATCATGCATCTGATGAGGGACTTGTATCTAGAACATATAAAGAACAATTATAACTCAACAATAAAAAGACACCCCAATTAAGAAACTAGCAAATCACTTTCTCCAAAGAAGATACACAAATGGCCAGAAATACAGGCAAAGATGCTCAATATCATCAGTCATTAGAAAAATGCAAATCAAAACCACAATTACTTCACACCTACTCAGATGGCTGTGATCAAAAAGAGAACAGCAAATGAATCGGTGGGATTCAGAGAAACAGGAATCGCACACTTCTGGTGGGAATGCAAAATGGTGCAGCCACTTTGGAAAACAGTCTAGAAATTCTTCAAAATGCTAACCATTGAGTTGTCACGTGACCCAGCAATTGTACTCCTGGGTATATAGCCAAGAAAATTGAAAACAGATGTTCACACAAAAACTCGTACACCAAAGTTCTCAGCAGCAATACTCACAATAGCCGAAAAATGGAAACAACCAAAAGGCAGTCCGCTGATGAATGAATAAAATGTGGTCTATCCACGCAATGAGATAATATTCAATCATAAAACAGAATGAAGTCCTGATAAAAGATGCTACAACATGGATAATCCTTGAAAACATTATGCTAAGAAGCCAGTCATAAAAGACCACCTATTAGATGGTTCCATTTCTATGAAGTACCCGGAATAGGCAAATCTACAGATAGAAAGTGGATGAGTGGACACCTATGGCTGAGAGACGGTGGGGAGGAACGGGACTGCCTGCTGCGGGGTGTGGCACTTCCTTTTGGGGTGATGAAAAAGTCCTAAAATTGACGGTGGTGATAGTTACACAGCTCTGTGCATATATCAAAAACCACTGCACTATATACTTTAAATTTGTGAATTGTATGATTTATGAATATCACAATAAAGCTGTTAAGAAAACAAATAAAACCTGACATCAGGCCAGGGCTGGTGGGCAGAGCTTCGGGAGGAACCTCTGAGGCTCACACTCAACCAGCACAACGTGTCCCTGACATCCCCCAGCCTAATTCCTGATGCTGTGCCATCAGAGGGACACTGCCTCTCTGTCCCTCATGCAGGCCCAGCTACCAAGCTCCCTGACCCTTAGTCTCTCTTCATCCCCACCCTGTACGTGTAGGACTGCTAGTGTGCAGAGCCCCCTGGGGCAGACGCCCTGCCTGATCCACAGGGCCCACCTTCCTTCTCAAGCACCTGCCTGTCCCTGGCCTCCTCTCGATCCTTCCTGCTGCAGTCCCCCGTCAGCACCTGCCCTGGCCATCCTCACCCCAGGTTCTATGCCCTCCATTGCCCTTCCTCATGCCCACAGCCTCCAGTGCTTTCAGTGGCCATGGCACACTGATGGCCATGCACGTGAATCTGTCTCCTCTGCCAGACAAGGCACTGTCTCCTCCAGTCCCTGGCCAGGAACACAGGGCTGGCCCAGGGGAGGTGCCGGTAACTTTGCAGGATCAGCTCTCCTCAGAGGCTCTGCCTAGCCCAGCCTCCTTCCCCTTGAGCCCTGTCTCCTTCCTGTCACTGGCCCTTCATCCTACTCCACTGGCTCTATGACGTCTGTGTCACTCTGGTCCCAGTCTGTCCTCTAGGAGCCTAGTGCTTCTGACCAGTTTGTCACATGCCCGTTTCCCCTTCATGCTTGTCTCCTGTCTGTCCCACTGCCAAAGGAAGCAGGCTGTACTGTCCCGGTTCCCCCAAGGTGTGGGCATAGTGGCCTTGCGCACACATGTCCTGTGGCTGGCAGTCGCCCCACTGTACCGTGGATCCAATGTCCCCATTGCCGAGGAGGGTATGGAAGCCAGGCACTGAACTCTGGCTGGGAGAGATGGAGGGATTGGCTCTAGGGGAATCAGCGAGTGCTTCCATTATGGGGTGACCTAGGCCCAGAGCTGAAAACCCTTTTTTTTTTTTTGAGATGGGGTCTAGCTCCGTTGCCCAGGCTGGAGCACAATGGCACAATCTCAACTCACTACAATCTCCGCCTCCCGGATTCAAGCAATTCTCCCGCCTCAGCCTCCTGAGTAGCTGGGATTACAGGTGCCCACCACCACACCTGGCTAATTTTTCTACTTCTAGTAGAGACGGGGTTTCGCCACGTTGGCCAGGCTGGTCTCCAACTCCTGACCTCAGGTGATCTGCCCCCCTCGGCCTCCCAAAGTGCTGGATTATAAGCATGAGCCACCACGCCCAGCCTGAAAACCCTTAAGAAGTCATGTGACACAGCAGTTGCCAAGCTTTCTGCGTGGCAAAGACCAGGCCAGGACTCCTGGTCTAGCTCTCTGTGGGCTGACTGGTCCCTGGACCTGGGGACTCAGCAGCCCATCCTCCTTTCCCCAGGCAGGGCCAGGCAGGACTGACACTGGTCTCCCTGGGGACAGAGTTAAACAAAGTCCCTCCTAAGATCCCATGGGGTGGGGTGGTGCAGTGGGGGGAACGCGGGTTGGAGTCAGGGATGACAGTCCAACCCTAAGGCCCTGTCCTGTCATTGAGGCTGTCTTCTAGTATGGGAAGTGGGAAGACACACGCAGCCCTCCTGATGCTAAAAGGCCACTCAGGACACTTCCCAGGTCCCCAGGCAGGCCGCCCCTACCGCCTGGCTGCTGTGATAGGGACCTGTGCTCACCCTGGTCCCCCCTGCGGGATGGCCTTGCCTTTAACCCTAAAGATTTGAAACCTGCACACTCAGCATAAGAGACAGCAGGGGGTGGGGGGTCTGTGACGCCCCCAGGCCCCACAACTGGAATGCATTAAGTGGTCACTGAGATGAAGAGGGGATCCGTCTCTAAGTCCTGACCTGTCACCACCAGGGACTCCCCAGGGGGCCTGCTCTGGAGCCACTCTGCAAACTGCAGAGGGCCCAGAGTTTGGCAAGGAATTCAGGCTCAGGTCACCTTCGGGTCACAGCAGGAGGGATGGTGCTGTGGTGGCTGAAAGAAAGGATGCTGCGAGGACCTGTCAAGAGGCCCCGGGGACTTCACCTCCTGAGCCCGGACTGTGGGCACGGTGGCTGCAGGGCTAGGTGAAGGTCAACACCGTAGGGGCCGGATGCTGGGGGCAGCTAGTCTGCCACCCATACCTGCGAGCCCAGAATGAGGGTTCTGACTGGATCAGCCTCTGGGGGAGGAGGTGCTCAGTGTTGATGCTTGCAACATCACTGCCTCCCGGGTCCTCGGACCCAGCTCTGGTGGAGTGAGGCCACCCTTGACTGACTCTCTGGCCATAGGGCTTGGCTCTGTGCAGGGTGAATGCACACTATAGCTGCACTCCCAGGCAACACCCCGCGGGAACAGGGAGGCATCAGACGCCAGACCCCCAGCCTCCTCTCTGAGCTGCCCTGTCTGAAGCAGAACCATGTGACTAGCAGGGCTGCTGGGGGGCAGGTCACAGGATCTCAGCACCACTGCGCTCAGGCAGGGGCTCAGCTGTTTCCCAGGCCCGGGGCCCCCGAGCCCCGTGGGTGGCTCTCATTCCTTCTTCCTTGCTCAGATTTATGGGAAGTCGTAGAAGCTGTCTCTTGGGATGTCTGGGAAAACAAGTTAGACACAAACCTAACGAGCTCCATTAATTGTCATGGCTTTGCAAAACAGACCTTCCTATTTGCTCCTCATGTAGCATTTTAAGCTGTCCTCCCTGAGTGATGACTGTAGATGTGGAAGATGATAGTCTGATGAGCAGATGAAAGCCAAACATCCTGTTTTGATGTAGGGATGCTTGCCGCACCCCCACCCTGTCCCAACACAGAGGACACGGTTAGAAACCACAGGGCTTCCCAGTCCCAGAGTCCCGCTGAGCCGGGAGAGCTCAGCCTCTTCCCAGTCCCAGAGTCCCGCTGAGCCGGGAGAGCTCGACCTCGCTATTTTTTTTTTTGGAGATGGGGTCTCACTCTGTCACCCAAGCTGGAGTGCAGTGGCATGATCTTGGCTCACTGCAGCCTCGACCTCCTGAGCTCAGGTGATCCTCCCACCTCAGCTTCCTGAGTAGCTGAAACTACAGGTGTGCACCAACATGCCTGGCTCATTCTGGTATTTTTTGTAGAGAGGGGGTCTCCCCATGTTTTTCCCAGGCTGGTCTTGAACTACTGGGTTCTGGCGATCCACCTCAGCTCCCCGAAGTGCTGGGACTGCAGGTGTAAGCCACTGTGCTGGGCCCTGACCTCGCTTTTAACTCTAAGTCCTACCTCCTGCCAGAAACAGGAGGGCCTCTCCCAGGTCCATCCCCATCCCTAGCACAGAGGACACTGGACTGGAATATTCTGTTCACACCTCCACCACCATCTCAGCCAGCCCAAATGCTGCAGGCAGGGATCAAGGTGACCTGTCTCTATCTTCCAGGGCAGCCAGGATGGGTTCCAGCCCAGCATGGTACTCATCAAATGCTCTCTGACTGACCAAAGGCAGAGTTACTACAGTAAGAAGGAACTGCCAGGGACCCCTGACTCTTGAAAGCTGGGCGGGCCTTTGTGTTTCAGACAGAATTCAAGTTCAACAGATGAAGAACCCTGGGCAGGGGCCACCCTGACCAAAATAACAGTCTGGGCAAGAGCAGAGAGAGAAGGTGTGGGGCAGGATGACTGAATGGTGGATGGCGGGGGGCAGGCCCAGGGCTCCGTGGAGGTAAGGACTTGAGGTTCGCCCTGACGGAACTCAAGTCTTTGCCAGCTATTGCGTTAAGTGCTTCTAACCCTACCTGGTACAGCGGAGTCCCGGTGAGACACACAGGGCAGGAGGGGGACACAGCAAACACACAGACCCCAGCCAGATGGTGCTGCGAAGCTTGAGAAAGCCTCAAAGGTATCACCACTCACACAGAGAAGTCTTTTTCTCAAAACAGTTTTGCAGGGAGATGAGGGAGGGAGAGACTCGTGCGCGATCCTACCTGAAGGCGTAGGTCTTCTGATGCCAGCTCAGCTGTCCCCGGATGCTGTATGCGATGGTGGTGACAAACTCCCCGCCCAACCCCAGCTCTGAGCACAGCTTCAGGGCAAACTTCTCTGGCGAGTTCTCCTTCTCTGACATGTCCCACTCAAACTGGTCCACCAGGGAAATGTTTCCCACATGGATGTTCAGCTGTGACGACAACCAAAGGACATGAGTTAGAGCCTTTGGGACTGCCCCCAGCCCAGGGAGGCCGCGAGGAGCAGGGGCCTGCCAGGCCTGCGGCGCACCCTGCCCACCAGGGTCCACCGGCTGAGAACTGCAGGTGGCCCTTGTCCTTCCAGTTTCCCATCCCCAAAACAAGGCTGACCCCACAACCCTCCTGTCTGCCATGAGGGGCTCTGGCTCAGGGCCCAGCACAGTCACCCTCAAGAGGCCCTGAAGTGACCCCGGGGGCACCTGAGTCCCATCTTACCTTCATCCCATCCCCGCTGTACCCTGTGCTGGTGGAGACCTTCCTTTCTGCCCTTCGCTCCTGCTGCCATCGGTCTTATGTGACTACATCGGCCAGGCAGGCCTCAGCTAAGGCATCCCTAAGTCCTGTCTTAAGCCAATGTCTATGCCTTTACAGAGCTTGCCCCTCTCAGAAAACCCTGCCTAGCACATTCACAGATGCACCCCACTCTAGGCCAACACAGCGAGGCGACAGGGAAGCCTGTGGGGAGCACAGTGCTGGGCCAGCTCCTCCCACACTCCCCAGAGGACTCCCTGCAGCGCATGACTCACAGCCAGAGGGCCCAGGCCCTGGGTGTGCTGTCAGGGGGTTTTAACCAGTGGACACCTGGGAAGCCAGCACCCAGCCGGAGAAAACACAGACTGTACCCCAGGAGCTCCCACCTATGCCCGCCCCGCCTGGGGAAGCACCATTTTGACTTCTCACTCCTTGAGTAGGTATGGCTCTTCTGAATAAGATGGACCCTTCGGGGTCCAGTTTCATTCACTCTGCGTCATGCTTGCAAGACTCCTCCCACTAGAGTGTGGGGCTGGGGTCATCCCTCATTGCTGTCCAGTGCTCCATGGGGCAAGCAGGCCACAGGGCACCTGCCCATTCACCTTAGATTTTTTTTTTTTTGGCGGAGTCTTGCTCCGTCGCCCAGGCTGGAGTGCAGTGGCGCGATCTCGGCTCACTGCAAGCTCTGCCTCCCGGGTTCATGCCATTCTCCTGCCTCAGCCTCCCGAGTAGCTGGGAATACAGGTGCCTGCCAACACGCCCAGCTAATTTTTTTGTATTTTTAGTAGAGACGGGGTTTCACCGTGTTAGCCAGGATGGTCTCGATCTTCTGACCTCGTGATCTGCCCGTCTCGGCCTCCCAAAGTGCTGGGATTACAGGCGTGAGCCACCGCGCCCCGCCTGTCCTTAGGTTTTAAGTCAAGGATCAGGGTGGGCAGTTGCAGGAAGAACTCACCACTGCCTTGGAGCCCAGCCCTTCCGGGGACTTCTGCCCCCTTTTAGAGATGAGGGCACCCCAACCCCCAATCATGTTCATAAAGCCCTGTGCCTCAGAGCCCTGCACACCACCACCCACTTGCTAGCATGGTCTTCCCCTCACCTGGCAGGGCCAGCCTCTTCTTAGTATCCTGGTCTAAGCTAAAGTGCCAGCTCCTGAGAGCTCCCCTTCCCATCAGCCCCTTTCCACACCCTTCTCTCCATTTTCTCCCCCTTGGGAGACAGGATGTCACTCTGTCACTCAGGTTGGAGTGCAATGACATGATCATGACTCACTACAGCTTCGAACTGCTGGGCTCAAGGGACCCTCCTGCCTCAGCCTCCTGAGAAGCTGGGACTACGGACAGGCACTACCATGTCTGGCTAATTTGTTTTGTAGAGCCAAGGTCTCTACAAGGCCCAGGCAATATATCAAGTGTTTTGGGCAGAGAAGAGACCCTATGGTTGAGCTCTCTGCTCCCCCAGGCTTCCCTGCTGCCTCTCTGTGTTGGCCCAGGCTGGCCTCAAAAGAACCTCCCCCAACAGTCTCCTGAGTAGCTGGGACTATACATGCAGGCCACCATGCTGGCACCTCTCCTATTTTCTTCACAGCACTTAGGACTGTCTGAAACAATCTGAATCATTTGCCTCCAGGAATCCTAGCATAGGCAGGGTGTATTTGTTCTGGGAATGAAGGAATCCTCACGCAGAGGGAGGAAGCCAAGGGGCAGAGCTGCACCATCCTGTACATGGCATGCAGCCAGGCAATGGGGGCTGCAGTCAGGCCCCCATGTCCTTTGCTATCTCCACATATGCCTATGCCTGATGATGACCGGAACAGGAGGTACTAGCCCTTCCCAACTGGAATCTAATGCCAAGCAAACCATGTGGGTGCTGGGTCCGAAAAGAGCATGCAGCAGCAGACAGCCCAGGGAACCACCCAACAGGACTCCCTAGGACCGTGGGCACATGGCTCCCACCCAGCAAGCCCTCCCTGCCCTGGGCTCATGGATGGAGCTGCCTGTCCCCTGCCATTCAGTCACTAACACATTCATTTATTCCAAAGTCTAGACTGTGTGTCTACCAAGGAGAGGCACAAGAGAGACAAACATTCCAAAGGCTGCTCTGAGAAAGGTGAGGTGGTGCATGTCTGTCGTCTCAGTTACTCGGGAGGCTGAGGTGGGAAGATCACTGGAGCTCAGGTGTTTGAGTCCAGCCTGGACAACACAATGAGACTCTGTGTCAAAAACAAACAAACAAACAACAACAACAAAAAAAGCCATGCTGGTGGGGGCACTGACAGACACAAAGTAGGTGAAGTAAGCATGTGGTGTGCCAGACGGCACGGGAGTGCCAGGGAGGAAAGGGAGGGAGGGGCAGAAAGTCCGGGCTGGCCTCAGAAGTCAGGAGGCCAGGAAGGCTTCTAGGAGAGAGGCCTTTAGGAAGAAGTGAATGTACCCCAGGAGCAGGAATGTGGCTCCCTGGGGTAGAACAGTCCCAGGTGGGGAACACAGTGATGTAAAAGCCTGGGGAGCCAAGGTCTGGCACCCGGGTCGGCCCAGTGAGGGGAAAAGGGAGGAGATGAGGGTGGCGAGGGACTGGAGCAGAGGGCAGTTAGGGCCCTGAGGCCTTTGGAAGCGTTTGGCTTCCACAGAGGGATGTGGGAAGCTTCTGCGGTATTTTGGGCAGAAAAGAGATACGGGCTGAGTTGCCATGCTGAGACCTCTACTGGAAGGCAGGGAAGGAGGGAGGGAGCCATCTGGCAGTGGCCTTGGTGGGGTAGTGAGGAGCGCTGGACTCCAGGTGGACTCACAGAGCCAAGGCAGGGCAAGGACTCCCAAGCAGGTGCATAGCAGGGCCAGGTCCCTGCCCACCTCCCCCAGCCCTGACTCACATCTTACCCCATGCACTCTCCTGACAGGGCCTGGACAGTGCCACTGGGTCTGATGGCTCAAATTTCAGCAGCACCATGTCCCCAGCTTCCTCCCCTACCCGCCAACCCCTGCTGGAACTGGGCAAAGCCGACCTGGGCCAAGTGCCCTGACAAGGGCAGCCAGGCCTGGGCTTTGGTCCCAGCATTGCCAAGAATATCTGTAAGAGGCCGCTCCAACCTAAGGCACTCTTTCTGAGGAGACAGATGGTCCTCACGTGCCATGGCTCCAAAGATTCCTCTTTTCCTTCAGTCATGTTCCAGGATCAAGACAAAGAAGGATGTCCTTACAGAAACACCCAGCTCTGGCCAGGCACGGTGGTTCATGTCTGTAATCCCAGCAGTTTGGGAGGCCAAGGTGGAAGGGCTTCTTGAGCCCAGGAGTTCGAGACCAGCTTGGGCAACCCAGTGAGACTCCATTTTCTTTTCTTTTTTTTTTTTTTTTTTTTGAGACAGAGTCAGTGGGATGGGAAGAGCCTGTCGCCCAGGCTGGAGTGCAGTGGTGCAATCTTGGCTTACTGCAACCTCCACCTCCCGGGTTCAAGAAATTCTCATGCCTCAGCCTCCAGAGTAGCTGGGATTACAGGCGCGTGCCACCACACCCAGCTAATCTTTTGTATTTTTAGTAGAGACGGGGTTTCACCATGTTGGCCAGGCTGGTCTTGAACTCCTGAGCTCAGGCAATCTGCCCACCTCGGCTCTCCAAAGTCTTAGGATTACAGGTGTGAGCCACGGTGCCCAGCCGAGACTCCATTTTCTACAGAAAATTTAAAAATTAGTCAGGCATGGTGGTACGTGCTTACAGTTCCAAGTACTCAGGAGGCCAAGATGGGAGGATAACTTGAGCCCAGGAGGTCAAGGCTGCAGTGAATCATGAAAAAAAAGGACGGAAGAAAGAAAGAAAGACCCAGCTCTTCTGAGTCCAAGTTATAGATGGGAAACCCTGGGTGTGACCTTCTATTCCTCTTAAGACAGGTCACTGTTCCCAGGGTCACGGTGCCCAGGAGGCCTCTGGCCTGAAAAACACAGTCTGTCCCACATAACACAGGCTTCCCCGGGCCAGCTGTGTCCACCCTGTGACATCCGGTCTGACCCAAAGGGCAGAGCAGGAAATCTGGCTGAGGGCAGTCTCTCAACCTGCCAGCTACCACCATCCTCCAGGTGGGAATCACAGGTAAGTCAGAGGGTCACTGGGGAAGCCTCTTCTGGTGGGGCAGGGGACAGTCCCAGGAGGATTACAGCTGCTGGGCAACTTTCTGTATGGCTCCTCCTCAGGCCCTGTCAGGATAACAACAACGAAAATGGGCTCAATTCTGAGAAAAACTAAGGGAAGCTGCCAGTCAGGCTTCATGAGGACCCTGTGTGTGACCAATCCCAGTCATCTGGAACCACACGGCTGGGTGGGTTAGCCCACATGGTCTCATCCTCAACATGTTTACAAGACAAAGAGGAGCACAGAGTGGAGCCCTCAGGGCTGTCCTCCAGAGCCAGCAGACCATACTCAGGACACAGGCCAGGTGCTTGCTGCCGCTCCCATCCTCACCCCACTTCTCTCCTACCATTGTCCCTTCTTTTCCTCCTAGCTGGCTATAATGTGAAACTGAAACAGGTTATGGGAAACAAATTTGTATTCTTCTCAAAAAGGTATTAACAAGTAAAGAGACTGAATCAATAACCCAAAACCTCCTGACAAAGAAAAGCCTTAGACCTGATTGCTTCATTGGTGAATTCTACCAAACATTGATTGATTGACTGAGTCAGAGTCTCACTCTGTCGGCCAGGCTGGAGTGTAGTGGCACCATCTCGGCTCACTGCAACCTCTGCCTCCCGGGCTCAAGCAATTCTCTTGCCTCAGCCTCCCGAGTAGCTGGGATTACAGGCATGTGCCACCACAACCGGCTAATTTTTGGATTTTTAGTAGAGACGGGGTTTCACCATGTTGGTCAGGCTGGTCTCTAACTCCTGACCAGAAGAGGCCGAGGTGATCCACCCGCCTCGGCCTCCCAAAGTGCTGGAATTACAGACGAGAGCCACCGCACCCAGTCATCTACCAAACATTTAAATAGGAGCTAATACCAATCCTTCTCAAACTATTCTTTAATTCATTGCCCTGATACTTAAATCAGACAAAAAATACTACAAGAAAGAAAAACTACAGACCAACACCCTTTATGAATGTTGATGCAAAAATCCTCAAAAAAATACTGGCAAACCAGCCGGGCACGGTGGCTCACGCCTGTAATCCTTTGGGAGGCCGAGGCGGGCAGATCACTTGTGGTCAGAAGTTCGAGACCAGCCTGGTCAATATGGTGAGACCCTGTCTCTACTAAAAATACAAAATTTAGCCAGGCATGGTGGCATGTGCCTGTAGTTCCAGCTCTTCCTCGAGAGGCTTAATTAAGCAGGAGAATTGCTTGAACCCAGGAGGTGGAAGTTGCGGTGAGCCAAGATCATGCCACTGCACTCCAGCCTGGGTAACAGAGCGAGACTGTCTTAAAAAAAGAAAAGAAAAGGAAAACTAACAAGTGTCAGTGAGGATGTGGAGAAATTGGAACCCTTGTGCATTGCTGGTAGGAATATAAAAGGGTGCAGCCACTGAGAAAGGCAGTGCAGCGGTTCCTCAAAAAACTAAACACCGTACGATCCAGGAATTCCATTTCTAGGTATACACCCAAAAGAAATGAAAGCTTTCATGTTTTTCTAAAATGGAAGCCAAAGGCACAGCATCAAATCAAACCAAACCACTGACCTTTTTAGAGTCATCACATGTGCCAGTTTCACCTACTTCTTATATCTTCCTATTTTCAAAGCTCCCCTCACCCTCAAGGCATAGTCTGGCAGTGGTGCCTCAGCACAGCAAGGACTATGCTATAGGCTCTGCAGGGTGCAGGCCTGCGTCCGATTGCCAGCCCCACCACTTCTCAGCTGACCAAACTTCCACAGGTGATCTCAGCTCTCCATGTACCTACCTCTTCACCTGTAATATGGCCACTAAGGCAGCATCTTATTGGGTTACTAGGTCGCCCTGAAGCGCTCAGCCTGGCCCAGCCAATCAGCTGCCTTCACCTTCTTTAGACCTCCCAGCTTTGCTCAGAGCCTGGCAGTGCCTCAGAGGCACCCGCTGAATGTGTCCAGAATGTAACACTTTACTATGAGAACTCAGCCTATGTCCTTCCTGGGGGATTGCAGGGATCTAAGCCAGGTGCTATGACTTTCCAGATGACATGGAACCCAAAAACGGGCTTCTGCTGAGGGAGGCCTTGTTGTACCCTCAGTGCTCTATGATGACACCCACCCTGAGGGCCAGGAAGGCTCCAGTGCTGGGTGAGAAGTCACCCACCTTGATGATGACGCGCTGGTCTGACTGGTCCTCCAGGATGCTGTCCGTGGGGTAGGACTCAATCTGCTGTCTGATGGCGGAGGCGATAGCTGGCACAAACGTCAGTGGGTTCAAATCCAGATCGTCACAGAGGATTTCTGAAAACATCTCAGGTGTCATCAACTTCTCTGAAATCAGGAGAGGGAAGGGATGCCAACAAATTGTACCATGCTTGGGCATGGACCGGCCTCCCTCACCCCTTCCTCTTCGAAGTCAAACATCTCAGGATGCAGAAGAGGAAAACCAGGGCACTGAGGGTGGCCTTCCTGGAAACTGGGAGTGGAAGGAGGAAGCACATGACTAGCTGGCCCCCAGCCCTCATGCTGCACAGACCTCCTGCTCCATACCCTGGGGATGGTCATGGCCATAAACACTCCCCCCATTCTGCTCATAGCTGGGTGGGCGCATGAGATTATCCTAACTAATGAGATGCTCCAGGCAAGGCCAGCAAAGGCACATCGAAGCTTGCGTGCCACCTCTCTACTCCCCTCTGTGCTGAACTGGTGGCAGACGTGATGGCACAGAGGCTGGCCCAATACCAGGCCTCATGTGAGCAAAACACACTGTGCCAAGCCATAGCAATTTCCAGGCCTGTGACTGCAGTAGCAGCAGCAGGGCCTCAACAAGGTCACAAGTGTGGAGGTCCCTACAGATCCCAGATCGTGGAAAAGTAATTGTATCAGATGGGAGCTCACAGGGACCATCTGTGGCCAGCCAGACCTTAGCAATGTCCCCTCAGTCAACGTTCTCTCCCTGCTCCGCCCAGATCTTACTGACAAGACACCTTGCAGGGATAAGCTGAAAAGCCAGGAAAAATTCCCTCAGAGCAGACAGCAGGATTCCATCAAGAAGCAGGTCTGCCACAACCCCACTATTTCCTCCCTGCCCTAAAGACACACTGGGGACTAGCATCCTAACAGCCCGCGGGGCAGCAACAGCAGGAACCTCAGGTGCACTGGGTAAACACCCAGTGAATACACTGCCCAGGGCATTTTAAAATTAAACTTTTTATTTTTAAGTAATTGCAGATGCAAGAAACAACACAGAGAAATTCCATGCACACTGTGCCCAGTTTTCTCCAAAAAAGTCAAGATATAGGACTGTATCTGTATCCAGTGATTCATCCAGGTTGTCATTTCCTGCCAAGTGACGTTCTGTGGTATGAAGGGGCCACATTTTATTCACTCACTGAAGGCTGTCTAGGTCATTTCCAGTTTCTGGCTATTCCAAATAAAGCTGCTATGAACATCCATGCGTAGGCTATTGTGTAAACATGTCTTCATTTCTCCAGGATAAATGCTCAGGTACACTGGTTGCGTGTTTAGTTTTTAACAGAAACTGCCAAACTGTTTTCCAGGGCAGTTTTCCAGCCACTTGACATTCCCACCAGCAGCTTATGAGTGACCCAGTTCCTCCACATCCTCACCAGCATCTGATGCTGTCACCACTTTTTATAGATGTGAAAAAATAGTGTAGTTTTAATCAGCATTTCCCTAAGGCTAAAAATGTGGAAAAGCTTTTCAAGGTATATTTGCCACCTGTATAACTTCTTTAATGTCTTTTGCCCTTTTTTTTTTTTTTTTGAGATGGAGTTTCGCTCTTATTGCCCAGGCTGGAGTGCAGTGGTGTGATCTTGGCTCAGAGCAACCTCAGCCTCCCGGGTTTGAATGATTCTCCTGCCTCAGCCTCCCGAGTAGCTGGAATTACAGGTATGCACCACCACGCCGAGCTAATTTTGTATTTTTAGTAGAGATGAGGTTTCTCCATGTTGGTCAAACTGGTCTCGAACTCCTGACCTCAGGTGATCCGCCCGCCTTGGCCTCCCAAAGTGCTGGGATTATAGGCGTGAGCACCACCCATGGCCTTTGTTTTGTTGCTTTGTGGGGACAGAGTTTTGCTCTTATTGCCCAGGTTGGAGTGCAGTGGTGTGATCTTGGCTCACGGCAACCTCCACCTACCAGGTTCAAGCGATTCTCCTGCCTCAGCCTCCCAAGTAGTTAGGATTACAGGCGTGCGCCACCACGCCCAGCTAATTGTGTATTTTTAGTAGAGACAGTTTCTTCTCTATGTTGGTCAGGCTGGTCTCGAACTCACGACCTCAGGTGATCCGCCCGCCTTGGCCTCCCAAAGTGCTAGGATTACATACAGGCATAAGCCACTGCACCTAGCCTATTTGCCTATAATTGTCTAATTGCTACAGCGCCATTTTGTTGAATGAGCTGTCTTCCTCCATTGAATTACATTTGCATCTTTATAAAAATCAGGAGGGCACGTTTGTGTGGGTCTGTTCCATCACGGTATGTCACTCCACCAACACCACACAGTCTTGATTATCACAGCTATATAGTAAGCCTTGAGATTGGGTAGAATGATTACTCCCAGTTTACTCTTTTTCAAAATTGCTATAATCCCAGCACTTTGGGAGGCCGAGACGGGTGGATTGCCTGAGTTCAGGAGTTCGAGACCAGCCTGGCCAACATGGTGAAACCCCGTCTCTACTAAAAACACAAAAATTAGCCGGGTATGGTGGCGGGCGCCTGTAATCCCACCTATTCGGGAGGCTGAGGCAGGAGAATCGCTTGAAAACGGAAGGCGGATGTTACAGTGAGCTGAGATCACGCCACTGCACCTCAGCCTGGGCAAAAGAGCAAAACTCCGTCTCAAAAAAAAAAAAAAAATTGCTTTATCTATTATCTATTTTAGTTTCTTTGCCTTTCCATATAAATCTTAGAACAATCTTGTCTATATCTACAAAAAAAAGTCTTGCTGAGATTTTTCATAGAAATTGCATTAAATTTGTATATCAATTTGGGGAAAACTGACATCATCTAGAGTCTTTTAATCCATGAATATGATATGTCTACTTATTTAGGTCTTCTTTAATTACTTTTATCAGTGTCTTATAGTTTTTGGTATGTAAGTCCTGTACATGTTTTATTAGATTAATACCGAAGTATTCCTTTTTTTATTGAGTGATGATACATGGTAATGTATTTTTAATTTGTGTCTAGGTACTCATTAATAGTATATAGAAATAAAATGGATTTCTGTATGTTTACCTTGTATCCCTTGCATCTTGTGACCTTGGGAACTGTTATTAGTTCTCCAAGTTTTCTGTAGAGCCCTTGGGATTTTCCATAAGGACAATCATGTCATCTGCAAATAGGATTTTATTTCTTCCTTTCCCATCTACATGTCTTTTATTTCCTTTTCTCGGCTTATTGGATTAGCTAGAACTTCCACTATGTTGAATAAGAATAGTGACAGCAGACATATTTCGCTTGTTCCTGATCTCTGGCAGAAAGCATGCAACCTTTCACTATTAAATGTTAGCGACAGAAGGCCGGGCGCGGTGGCTCACCCCTGTAATCCCAGCACTTTGGGAGGGCGAGGCGGGTGGATCACGTGGTCAGGAGATCGAGACCATCCTGGCTAACACGGTGAAATACAAAAAGTTTTAGCTACTAAAAATACAAAAAGTTAGCCGGGCGAGGTGGCGGACACCTGTAGTCCCAGCTACTAGGGAGGCTGAGGCAGGAGAAAGGTGTGAACCCAGGAGGCGGAGCTTGCAGTGAGCTGAGATCATGCCACTGCACTCCAGCCTGAGTGACAGAGCGATACTCTGTCTCAAAAAAAAAAAAAAAAAAAAAAAATTAGCGACAGGATTTTTGTACTAAATAGATGCTTTTATTAAATGGAGGAAGTTTCCTGCTATTACTTTTCTGAGCATTTTTATCATCAGGTGTTGAGTTCTACAAAATGCTTTTTCTGTATCAACTGATCTGATCCTGTGATTTTTCTTCATTAGTGTGTTAATACGGTGGATTACATTGATTGAGCTTCAAGTATTGACCCAGCCTTCCATCCTTGCAATAAATCCCACTTGGTCACAGTATATAATTATTTCTATATATTGCTGAATCCTATTTCCCAATATTTTGATAAGGAATTTGCATCTATAGTCATAAAGGATATTGGTTTGTATTTTTCTTTTTTTGGTAGTGTCTTTAGGTTTGAGGAAGTACGCTCTCGTCTTCCATTTTCTGGAAGAGATTGTGTAGAATTTGTGTTAATTCATTTTTCAATATTTGATTGATAGAATTCTCCAGTGAAATCATATGGGCCCAGAGATTTTTTTGGGGGGAGAATTTTTTTCCTTTTTAAAAATAATGTTTTATATTTTAAAATTTAATTAGAGATGGGATCCTGCTAGCCCAGGCTGGTCTTGAACTCCTGGCCTCAAGGAATCCTCCCACCTCAGCCTCTCAAAGAGCTGGGATTACAGGTAAGAGCCACTGTGCCTGGCCATTTTTGGGGATTTTAAAATTACAAATTCTGTTTTCTTAATAGTTACAGGGCAACTCAAATTATCTATTTGATATTGGATGAGTTGTGCTAATTTGTGTTTTGCAAGGAATTCATCCATTTTGTGTAAGTTGTCAAACTTATAGAATTGTTTGCAGTATTGATATCTGCAGGGTCTGTGGTGACATCCCATTTCATTCCTGATATTGGTAAGTTACGTTCTTTTTGTCAGCCTTGCTAGAGGCAAAGATTAAGAAAACATCAGTTTTACTAATCTTTCAAAGACCCAGCTAGGTGTCATTAATTTTCTCTATTGTTTGATTTCTGTTTTCAATGTCACTGATTTCTGCTCTTCAAATGTCCTTCCTTCTGCTTAGTTTGGTTTTGTTTCTCTTTCTCTTGGTTCTTGAGATGACAGCTTAGATTATCAATTTGAGGAAAGCTTTTCCTGTCTTCTAATGTACGCACTGGTGCTACAGATAATCTGCATTGTTGTATTTAGCTTTATCCCACAAATTTTGATACGCTGCATTTTCATTTAGGTCCGTGTATTTTTTTTTTTTTTTTTGAGACAGAGTCTCGCTCATCGCCCAGGCTGGAGTGCAGTGGCGTGATCTCTGCTCACTGCAACCTCCGCCTCCCAGGTTCAAGTGATTCTCCTGCCTCAGCCTCCCGAGTAGCTGGGATTGCAGGCACACACCACCACGCCCAGCTAATTGTTTTTGTATTTTTAGTAGAGACGGGGTTTCACCATGTTGGTCAGGCTGGCCTCCAACTCCTGACCTCGTGATCCGCCTGCCTCAGCCTCCAAAGTGCTGGGAAT